TGTCATGGGTACTGTTGGGTTCTGTCCGTAATTCAAATAAAACGGCGACTGTTGCGTCGTGGCTGATGGTGCATTATTGTATGCGAACTCGATGAGTGGCAGCTGCTGTTCCCACGTATTCGGGTCGTCGCACGTGGCTCGAATCAGCTGCTCCATGGTCTGATTTGTCCGTTCCGTCTGACCGTCGGTTTCGGGGTGATAGGATGAACTGAACTGTAAGCGTGTGCCGAACTGCTGCCACAGGTTCCGCCAGAAGTTGCTTGTAAATTTCGTGTCCCTGTCGCTGATGATCGACGCGGGTATCCCGTGCAGTCGTACGACGGTGGAGATGAAGAGTCGGGCGGTTTCTTCGGCTGTGATGGATTTCCTGCATGCTGCGAAATGAGCCATTTTCGTTAGTCGATCGACGACGACCAGGATCGCGTCATTCCCACTCGTCCCAGTTGGTAACCCCGTGACGAAGTCCATCGTCACCTGCTGCCAAGCACGCTCTGGAGGCGGGATGGGTTGTAATTGCCCCGCTGGTCGCTTCCTGCTTGACTTCATGAGCTGGCAAGTGGGACACGATGCCACGTGTCGTTGCACATCGGTCAACATTTCTGGCCAGTAGTAGTACCGCTGCAGCTGCTGCCGTGTTTTTTCTACCCCGAAATGTCCCGAGGTAACTCCGTCGTGTGCTTCCTGTAACAGTAGTTCCCGCAGTAGTGTGTATCCCGGTACCCAGATGCGGTCGGTTCCAGTTTTTACGTAATAGACTCCTTTTGCCGCTGCGAATTGGTGTGAGTTGCCTCCTGTAAAGAACGGGTCTGTTTGATATCCGTGGGTAAATAGGCCTGTTAGCAGTGGGCTGGTCTGGGCGAGTAGTATTGCGTGAATCTGGGCAGTGGGGCGGGTCAGTGCGTCGGCGATATTCGATGCTCCTTTTTTGTATGTGACCGTATAGTGAAAATTCGACTCGAGGAAATCGAGCCATCGAATTTGTCGTGGGTTGAGGTGGGGCTGTGCGCGGAGGTACTGTAGAGATCGGTGGTCTGTCCGTACTGTCACGTCTGCGCCGGTCAAGTAGCAGCGCCAAACTTTGAATGCATGCACGATCGCGAGCATTTCACGGTCGTGTATCGGGTAATTTCGCTCATGCGGATGTAGTTTGCGTGATTCGTAGGCGATGGGTTGGAGGCCGTTGCCGAAGTCCTGTAACAGTACAGCTCCGATGGCGATGTCACTTGCGTCGGTAACCACTTCGAAAGGGCGGTGGGGATCAACGATGCGTAGGACGGGTGGTGAACAGAGAACGTTTTTTAGGGCAGAGAAGGCAGCATGCTCTTTCTCCCCCCACGTAAAAGCGACCCCCTTACGCAGTAAATCAGTTAGTGGGGCTGTTAAACGTGCCATGTCGGGCACGAACCGTCGAACGTAATTAACAAACCCTAAAAAACTCTGCAGTTCCGTGATGTTCGTCGGGGGGCGCCACGCTTTTACCGTGTCCAGCTTCTTTGGGTCAATCTCAACCCCAGCCTCTGAAATGACGTGACCTAAAAACTCTAGCCTATCCCTAAAAAACTCGCACTTGGAGCCCTTGGTGAGCAGCCGATGTTCCTCTAAAACCTTAAAAACTGCTTCAAGATCTGCTAAGTGTTGCTGCTTATCCCGACTGTAAACGAGGATATCGTCGAGGTAAACGATCACGCATTTATCTAAAAGTGGCCTAAATGCCTCGTTCATGGTCATCTGAAAAGTCGCAGGCGCGTTCGTCAACCCGAAGGGCATTACTGTATACTCGAATGACCCGTACCTAGTCCTAAATGCTGTTTTTGCGCAGTCCGATGGTTCGACCCGAATCTGATGGTAACCTCCCCGTAAATCTATTTTCGAAAAGACACGTGCTGTTCGCAGTTGGTCAATCAGTTCGTCGGCGCGGGGGATGGGGTATCGCGATTTGACTGTTACCCTGTTAAGCGCTCGGTAGTCGATGCACATGCGAAAACCTCCGTCCTTTTTCGGTGTGAACAGTATGGGTGCGGCGAACGGTGACGAGCTCGGTCGAATAAACTGCTTTTCTAACAGGTAATCTAACTGCTTCCTTAACTCGTCGAGCTCGGGCTGTGTCAGTCGAAATTGCCGCTGTATGGTTGGCTGTGCCCCCAGTTCTAACTCGATCCTATGGTCGTGCGCTCGCTGAGGTGGCAGTCCCTGTGGTAAATCATCCGGAAATATCCCCGGGAACCGTTTCAGTAGTGCCTGTAATTCGGTCGGTACGGCTGCTAGTAGTTTCTCTAAATCACTCTGCTGCTCGTTTTTTTCTACCACTGCGATATCCACTGCGTACACGTCAGCTCCAGCAGCGACAGCCCGTTTCATCGTGATGGCGTTGACCTGGACTGTCGAAGATTCGGGTGGCCGCCAGCGAGGTAGGACGACCCAGTCACCACTACTTCGCACTGTGCAGCTCCCCGTCGTCCAGTCAATCCGTGGGTTGTACCGTCGCAGCCAATCACGTCCCAGTAAAATGTCGTGCCCATCCAGCGTCGTTGCGAGCATTTCCTGTGTAAACCCGAAGTTTCCCCCGCAGCGGACTTTTACTCGCTCCACTTTTTCTCGTATGGCCAATGGCGTGCCGTCGACTAAGCGTGCATCTATCTCAGGTAAACATCGGTTAAGTGTTAACTGTAATTTCCGTGCGGTTGCAGTATTAACTAAGATGTGACTTGCTCCTCCGTCAATGAAGATTTTCACTGCTGCTCCCTGTATTTTCCCGTAGATCAGTACCGGGCAATCCGTCGCTGTACCCTCCTTATTCATCCGAGCACGATCGATGGCGTGAATCGGTACTGTGACTCGGTGAGGGTCGGTGTGGTTGGGCGAGCAGGCAGTCTCGTCAGTAGTTGGCCCAACTTCTACTGACTGCTGGCGTTTCCCTGCCTCTGAGACTCCCTCCCCTGCTCTGCTCCTCGACGCCTCAGCTCCTCTGGACATTCGCTCTTGCGATGGCCCGACCGGTTGCAAGCAAAGCAGCGCCCTCTAAATGGCGTGGCAGCTGCATTCGTTGCGACGGCATGTACAGTGGCGTGCTCGATCGGTCCCCGAGGGCGATGTCCGAAATAGGACCCCGGTCTCGGTCGGCGTAGGATATCGATTTTCTCGGCGAGCGCGAGGATTTCGTTGAAATTTGATAGCCCGCGTAGCATTATCTCGTGCGATATGTCCGGCTTCAGCCCTCCGACGTAACGGTCCACCCGCTCCGCCTCGTGCATGTAGCCGACCTGTTCGCAAAGTGCGAGAAAACCGCTGGTGTAGTCTTGAACCGACCCGAGCTGGCGCCAAGTGCGCAGTTTCTGACGCGCCGAAATCGAAGCCGCGATCGGCTCAAAACGCGCCCGAAGCCCTGCGCACCACGCATCCCACGTGCTGTATTGGGCTGTTTCGCAGAACGAACTCCAGGTGACAGCTGGACCCGAGGGCCCTTCCTCGTGCGACGGTGGCTCGTAGGCGCGTGGCGACGTCACGATGACTCGCCACCAGTCCATGGCGGGGCCCCTGAGTAGTGAAACCGCATACCGAATCTTGGCGGCGTCCGCCTCGACGTAGTTGGCGTCGAAAAACACATTCATCGTGAAGACCCACGATTGAACTGTCGGGCCGCCGCGTTGGCTTGGGTCGAAGCAGGGCGGGCGTTGCGGCTTGAGTGGCATTGGGGCCATCATGGCGTTTTCACCACTTGTCGCCGCAAACTCCACGTGCCGACGGGCTTCTCGGGGCTCCCGTGGGCTTAGCGTGCTCCTGTTCCCTCCCATGCCGGGCATCGGTTGGGCTGCGCCGTCACTGGCTGCGCCTGAGCGCTGTCCCGTGCTGTTGTGTTGCGTTGGTGTGCCGGATGAGATGACAATCGGCTCCTCCGAATGTACAGAAACATTGGTTGGTGCGTGGGATGTCGTCGGAACATATACTGTTGACTGTTGACGGGCGGAGTCACGTTCCGCCGTGAGCGTCGCGATTTCAAGCGCCAAATCCTCCAATTGTCGCACGAGACGATCGAGTTGCTCCTGCGTCAACGTGGCGAGATTGAGGTCGGCCATGGTGGGGGTGTCGGGCAAGCTCAGCGAGAGCCTCGGTCGTGGCCGTGCGTGCTTGCGAGAGAGCACTACGAGCGGCGGTGCTGTGTCGCTGAGAGACGTCTACCCCCCCCCAAAAATTGAGATAGTGGGAAGCAAAGGTGTGGATGCGGTCCGAGATGAGATCGTAGGCTCTGATACCAAGTGTTACGAGTGCAATTGAGTGAACGAACGAGAATTGCACCATCGAAGCAAAAGTACAATGAGCGAAGGCATGAACGAAGGATTATATAGCGAAACAATAGTGGTAACGGTAATGGACTGTGGTTGTCGCGCGACGAGCCTGGGACTAAGGTTGGGAAAGTGTCGAGGCGTAGGCCCGGAGCGCGGGTTACCAGCCGAGCCGTGAGGTCGGGATGCGATGTGCGAAAAGGGCGGGATAATGAATGATGCGATGGTCGCGAGTGGTAACGGTGCTGACTGAGGTGCTACAGTGACGTACGCGTTGAGCAGAGACGCGAAGTAAGGAAAAGGGAATTTCCTTACACTTCGCGAGTTCGCCAACACTGGAATTTCAAACAAGATAACCTTGTACAGAATTTCAAGGCCGAAATAGGTTTCGCGGATCTCGCATACAGCCTATTTCAAATCCACATAACTTGATAATTTACCATGCTGACCCCGGGCTTTAAACTAGTCTCCAACCGTGTACAGATTTTCACAGATAGTTGCATTTTGAATAAATGTCAGCCAAATTGTCAACCCTACGTTGTTCTGAGCTTCTAAATGACGTGTGAGGCTGTTCTTGCGTTCCCGCATTTTTCAATAACAGAACGTGGAGCCGGATTGTAACTCACAGCATATTCACGCATTGCTCCATACATTCGCAGGCCTTAAGAAGCTTATAAAGCAAGCTTACATCTCTCAGATCAACTACAGTACATGCATGGTTCATCGCTTGCCGCCACCACCACCGCTTGCACCCTTGCCACCCTTGGGCACTGAAGCGCGTGGAGCTGCCGCCTTGGTAGCGGCCTTGGCCTGCTTGGTTGTCACCTCTGCCTTCTTGGCCTTCTTCTCATCCTTCACCTTCTTCAGCCGCTCCTTAATCTCACTGCTCCCACACACACGCCACCGATGCCGCCAGATATGCACACAAGTCGACACACATACAGACACGCATACTCATACACATACACATACACATAAACAACACAAGCACATACACATACCAATACACATACATACATATACACACACACATACACATAGACACACAGAAGGCGGTGAGCGAAACAGGAGTCAAGGTGCACGCAAGCCCCATGACAAGGACGCACAGGGGTCGCGGGAGAGGCGGCAAGCAGACACGAAGAGACGGGGGGTACACTGTGCGTTGCATGGATGAGTGAATGCGTGGAGGGCGTGGATGCATGGGTGCAGCGGCGCACACAAGCTTTGCCAAAAGGCGAGGAAGCGATTAAAAATGAAAATGAATGGCATGGGAATGAATGGTATGGGAATGCATGACATGGAAATGAATGGCATGGGAATGAATGGTATGGGAATGCATGACATGAAAATGAATGGCATGGGAATGAATGGTATGGGAATGCATGGCATGGGAATGCATGGCATGGGAATGCACGGCACGGGAATGCACGGCACGGGAATGCAAAACTACGGGCATGCGAATGCATGGCGTGGGAATGCAACGGGCGGGGCGCAACTGACCGGAGCGCGGCATCTCTGGCGGCGGCGCGGACCTCGGCCTTCTCGGAGCGGCGCTTCTGAATGACCTCGAGCGACGCGCCCACGATGGAGCGGCTGTGCACCTTGGTGGCCGTGCGCTTCTTCCGCCGCACGCCCTCCGCTTGCACGTCCTGCGCGCGCAGCCAGCGGAGACAGCGGGAGCCGCGGGGAAGGGGCGCGCGGGTGGGACGAGAGAGGAGGAGGGTGAGTCTCGGAGGGAAGAGGGCGGATGCATTGCGCGCGAGGCGGGAGACGACACGGGCGGGACAGAGACTAAGAGACGGGGCGAGTGACCCGAGGCACGGACCCGCAGGGCTGGATTTGAATACGGGCGCGACGCGGGGAGGTGTAATACGACATGACGACGCGAATAGCGACGTGACGACGCACATGACGACACGACGACGCGCATGGCGACAAAACGACGCGAATTGCGACACGACGACGCCTATGAGTAACACACGACGTAGGACGCTTCATGACGACGCGCAAAACCGAACACTGCCAAGCCGTCGATAACCATTCCGACAGCTGTCACTCGCCCGCTTCATGGTTGACCGTCGCTCGCCCACTCCCAACGGCATACCCCTCTCCCACCAGTCCCTCACACATCTCACTCCCACGCCTCTTGCTCCTAGCGGTCAGCGCCCGCAGCCTCTCATGATCGCAACCACTCTACTTCCACAACCAGCCATCCGCTGCACTGCCCTCCCCTTCCTCCCTCCATGCGAGCACCACTGCTGCTCCACAACCCGCTAACCGCCATTCTCCTCCGCTAGCCTTGCCTTCCATTTGCCTCCACTCCTTCAAAATTCCTCCCTGTGCCCCTCCTCCCTCGTCTCCCCCACGAACTCTTCCCCCGTCTTCCTGCCTTTACCGTACTGGCCCCCCACTGCATCGCCCCGCCGAGCCTCCTCTCTACACTGTATCTCGTCACCTCCTCGCGCCCACGCCACTTTCCGCCCATCGCCCTTTCCGCCCATCCCACTCCGCCCATCGCTCTCGGCGTATCCCTCCCCGCCCATCGCTCTCCACTCCACCCGTTGACCTCCTTCGACGTTGCAACCTGCGTCGCTGCTTCTACCTACTTCGACACCTATTCCCGCGCGGCGACGCACCTTCTTGTGCTGCTTGCGGTAGATGGCGGTCCAGTCGAGCTTGGACGGCTTGAGGCGGTTGTGGAAGTACTGCTTGCACTTGGCGTTCACGAACAGAAACACCTGCCGCCCGGCTCATCCCCCACACGCCAACCACCACCGCACCGTCAGCCGACTCGGAAATCCACTGAATGCAAACTAAATCAGGCTAGAGCTGATACTGTCGCGGAGGAATAGCGAAGGGATTGACGGAGATAGCAAGTGCGGGCGCGTCGAGACAGGGGAGGCAACGAAAGAGCGTGGGAGGGGGTGGGGGAGTGGGGGAAAAGGGGGAGCGAGGGGAAGGGAGGGTGGGTGTAATGGGGAGTGGGGCGGCGGGGAGACCTGCGAGTCGGCGCGGATGAAGCGAATGCCCCTCCCGGGGTAGATCTTAGCACCGCTGAACCGGCAGAGCTCCGTCCTGCCACGCCGCACACGCAGCACGCAGGACACGCAGCACGGCACGCACAACACGCACGGGACACGGCACGCAGCACGACAAACTAGCGGTTAGAGGGCGGAACTGGAAGAGCGGGAAATCTGGTGAAGTTGCGGGGCGAAAGAGGAGACGGCGCACGAAGATGGAATCGCGACGTCAGATCGGAGCGAGCAATGAGGGGAAGCATGCGTTAGGGTTGGGCGGTACGGACTTGAGAACCATGGCGCTGAGTGTTGGTGTCCCAGTGGCGTTGGAGGGGTGGGAGGGAAAAGGAGGGGAGGAAGGGAGAGTAGGGGATTTGACTAGAGCTATTCGATGGCGGGGCGAAGGGAAGGGAACGCTGGAAGGGGTGAGGTTGGGCGATGACCACAGCGCAGACCGAGGGACGACATGAAGCACACAGGTGGTGGTTCGCCACCAGGAATTGGTTGATTGTCCCTGCTTCGCCAAAAGATCCCCCACTTGACAAACGTTACCGTCGAACCTGATTACTATCTAAGAGAGAGAATCATAGATGCAGGAAGTTATATTATTATGTCAAATCAATAACACAAGCACAGGAACACAGCCAATCCTAGGGTACTCGTGCAATTTCTATCAAACTAGACCTGTAAAGCTTCCAATTTATGGTTTTACGGAAGCTAGTGCATCACTGATCAATCAGCACCACCACATGGAAATTGTAACGAAGACTACCTAGCCTATCCTCATTAGGCTTCACAATAAGAAGCCTCTGTACAAGCCCTCACACAACACGTCCCACCATCAGGTAGGCAGGAACACTCTGATCCAGACCTCCTGCTTCCTATTAAGCAGAGTGTACGGGCCACTGTACCCCGCATACGCACCCGAGCTCTCATCAAACCCCATGCCACGCCGCTCCAGCAACCCTTTAAGGCGCTGCAGCTTGCTGCCATACACCGCCTCCGTGGGGAATCCTCCAAACGGCCCCAGCACAGCACGCACCACACCGCGCGGCATCAGCACGAGCTTCACTGTCGGGTCTGTGGGCTGCGGCACACTCTCAGGCGAGTAGCGCCGCGGCACCACCAGGGAGACCTCGTAGCCGGCTGCCTCGGGGCGCGGCATGGTGAGGACCGGGGCGGTGAGTGCGATGGGCTCGGAGCGCGCGTTGTGGCCGGCAAAGAATGAGTGCAGGCGCCACGTGCCATCCTCCACTGCCTTGTCGTACGATGCATTCACCACTATGGTCGTCACCCACACCTGGGGGGAGGGGAGGGGGAGATGGGAGAGGGGAAGGGAAGGGGAGGGGAAAGGACACAACGGTATGAGAAGTGGAAGATGAGTGAGTGGAAGGAGGGAGGGGAGCAAGGGTGCAGATGCATGATGGTTCGGAGCGTGCGTTGTGGCCGGCAAAGGAGTGCAGGCGCCACGTGCCGTCCTCCACTGCCTTGTCGTACGACGCGTTCACCACTATGGTTGTCATCCACACCTGAGGGGAGGGGAGGAGAGTAGGGGAAGTGAAAGGGAGTAGAAGGGATATGAGGGTATGGGCAGCGTTCGGTGAGTGAGTGGATGCAGGGAGGGGAGCAAGGGTGAGGCGGCGAATGACGGGAGCAAGGGTAATGTGGTTCTCAGCACCTGCATCCTTGGTCATTGCCAGCACTCCGCACGCTCACGGCCTGTTATCAAGCCTCACACACTGCAACACCCACCATCCTCTTACCCCCTCTAACACCAACTCCCCCCTTCCCCCCGCGCACCTCGTCATCGGGGTAGCTGCGCAGCTCGTGCCCCTTGCTGCGCCCGCTCACGTTGCACGCGGGGGTCTCTTCCGCCACGCGCGGCCCGCACGCGCCCGCGTACGACCCCTCGCCGTCCAGCGCGGGCACCACGAACCACCGCCCGAACCCCTCCGGCCGCGCCTCCGCCGCCCCGCCCGCCATCGCCACCGCCAGCAGCGCTACCACCAGCACGCGCACTGCTGGTTGGGGGGACGCACACGGCGGCAGATAAGGGCGGGGTGGGGGAAGGGGAAGGGGAAGGGTGGGGGAGAAGGTGAAGCGGCAAGGCGACGAATGCGGGAGAGGAGGAGCGGGATGACACACGACGACGCGCGAGGACATTGCGGCGAGTGACTCACTGTGGATTCAAACGACTGCAGGCACCACACCGCGCGACTGCGTGCAGCCACACGCCCGCTCGACGTGCCGCACTGCCCTGACGACACGAGGGGGAATAGCGGACCAGCGCGAGCAAGGGGCGGTTCGATTACGCATGCCTGACCTTGCATGGTGGTCGATGCCGACAAAACCGAGCGAATGCTAACAGTCTATCGTTGCAGCGTGGCGCTGGCGCTCCTCGCTACGCGCGTATCGCTGCTACGCGCGTGCCGCGGCCGCCATCGCGCGGGCAGTCAGCGCTGCGAGCAGCCGCGAGGAGACTCGCCGAGCGCGGCCCAGGCGACTCGACTACGGGCGACGCGGAAACGAACGACGATGGAGGGGCGACAACTGTCCTGGGCGGGCAGAAAGCGACGACCCACTGCTTGAGGGTATCGCGGATAGTGGGTGACGTAGTATGAGCTGTTGCAGGCGATGCGTGGGCAAGGGGTGCGCGTTTGGCGCGTAGTTTTAGGCGAATCTCGCTTTGTGCTGCTCTGGTTTGCTTCGGTTGGGAATGACGGGTTTCAAAACGAGTGCACGTAGAAAATAGCCACTGTACAACTGTTGTAAGGAATCTATGGTTTTTCCAGCAAGCCATCCGTTGGTACACTGCCTTTCTGCAACCACCAGTGAGGGCGTCATTTTCAGAGGACTCGGTGAGCAATAGTAGAGCGGTCGGATGCATATATGATGCGGTGCAGTGTGGTGTAATACAGTGCGGTGCGCTACAAGCCAGCGGGGAAGTTGTTGACCTGGCCTTGCTCCAATACGTCCTGGCCTCCCACCTTGTATGACACCCTCAGCTTCATCACCAGTGGCTTCTGCTCGCACCGTACACAGGCACACACACACACATGTGCACACACAAGCACAGGCACAGAGAAGCCCAGGAACATGGTTCAGAAGAAGCCTCACGCTCTTGCCTAGGAGCCTCACACTTGAAACGAAGTGCCAGATTGCATAACACTGGTGCTGAGGAAGTAGTAACAAGCATTGGAGCAAGCGCATTGCCTCGCATGTGCAACGTGTGTGTGCTACCCATGCATGCCACAGCGACTGACCTGGCCATGCAGGGTGTTGGTGATGCGCATTGTCTGTGTCACACTGCCGCTGTTGCTGGCCGGCACTACTGCCCCCGATGCCGCCTCCAGCTGCAGCTGCATGAACTGCACACGGGGAAGATAAAGTGGGGGGTGTGGGGGAGAAAGGAGAGGGGAGAACAGGGAAGGGCACATGTCACCACAGTGGGATGCAATGGGTTGTGAGGAGGGTTGCTGGCAGGCACCACAGCCCCTGATGCCGCCTCCGGCTGCAGCTGCATGAACTGCACGCAGGGCAGACGAAGGTGGGGGAGTGAAGTGGAAAAGTGGGACACAGAGGGTTGCCAGGGGGGTTGCAGGGCTTGCTGTGTGCCAAGTACCTGCCAGATGCCTGCGGGTGAGTGCGGGTACAGGAACAGCCACACACCTTGGGCAGCACACACCTTTGCCACACACACAAACACACACAAACACACACACACACATACCTTGGGCACGGCGGCTTGGAAGACAAAGTCAGTGAGCGGGGAAGGCGAGGAGTTGGTGTAGGAGGCACTGATGGTGGTGCTCTGCGGGGCAGCAGGGTCCTTGGCGAACTCAAACGTGATGCGCAGCCCCCGGCTCTCCAATGCCACTATCCCCGGGAACGACGGCGCTGCTGCTGCTGCCGGCGCCGCTGCAAAGCCTCCAAACGGATCCACCGCTGCTGCTGCGGCGGCTGGGGCGAAGGGTGCTGGTGCTGGTGTGGGGGTGATGAGGGTGGGTGCAGCCCCGCCCATGAGGCCTGCTAGTGGGTCTATGGCTGCAGCTGGCATGGCGGCAGGTGCTGCTGCTGCTGCAGGGGGTGCCGGTGCGTCTCCGAGGGAGAGCAGGTCCAGCAGCAGGTCTGCCCCGCCTGGTGATGGCGCTGGTGGCGGGGGGTGGAAAGGGAGGGAAGTTGTTGGGGTGCATGTGAGCAGTGAAGAATTATTGGAGGTGGTGGGTTGTGGTGGATGGTGGGTTGGGAGAATGCAATGCACGACGGGCTCAGCATGCCTCACCAGCTTAAAGAGCAGCAGAGCAGACAGAAGGGGTGTAGTGGGGAGCACAGAGAGCGGAGAGCAAAGTGAGAAAGGAGCACAGCAAAGCAATGCTCACCAGAAGTAGCAACAGCAGCGGGAGCACTGACCCCTCCCAGCAGATCCAGCAACCCTCCCGCAGCAGCAGCGGGGGCAGCGGCAGCAGCAGCAGGAGCAGCAGAGGAGTCATCAGCCGTGAGGTCCAGCAGGTCTGCCAACACCTGTGCCTGTGCCTGGGGGGCTGCTGCCGCCCGCACTCCCCCTGCTGTCCCGCCTGCTGCTGCTGCGCCATTGGCTGACGGCTGCCCTGTTGGCGCTGCTGCACGAGCCGCTGCGTCGGGCGCCAGGTCAGCGCGCTTGGAGCGGTACGCCACCTCATCCAGTGCTGGCATCTTGTCTGCCAGCGTGGCTCTGGGGAGGAGTGGGAGGAAGGGGTTGGGGGGGGTTGGGGGGCGAAGAGTGAAAAGGGAGAGATTGGCGTGAGGTGAGGGAATGATGTGTGGTGTGCATGCGTTCAGGCTGGTGTTATTCATTGTGTGGTGTGCATGCGTTCAGGCTGGTGTTATTCATTGTGTGATGTGCATGCGTTCAGGCTGGTGTTATTCATTGTGTGGTGTGCATGCGTTCAGGCTGGTGCTATTCATTGTGTGGTGTGCATGCGTTCAGGCTGGTGTTTTCATTGTGTGGTGTGCATGCGTTCAGGCTGGTGTTATTCATTGTGTGGTGTGCATGCGTTCAGGCTGGTGCTATTCATTGTGTGGTGTGCATGCGTTCAGGCTGGTGTTATTCATTGTGTGGTGTGCATGCGTTCAGGCTGGTGTTATTCATTGTGTGGTGTGCATGCGTTCAGGCTGGTGTTATTCATTGTGTGGTGTCCATGCGTTCAGGCTGGTGTTATTCATTGTGTGGTGTGCATGCGTTCAGGCTGGTGTTATTCATTGTGTGGTGTGCATGCGTTCAGGCTGGTGTTATTCATTGTGTGGTGTGCATGCGTTCAGGCTGGTGTTATTCATTCTGTGGTGTGCATGCGTTCAGGCTGGTGTTTTCATTGTGTGGTGTGCATGCGTTCAGGCTGGTGTTATTCATTGTGTGGTGTGCATGCGTTCAGGCTGGTGCTATTCATTGTGTGGTGTGCATGCGTTCAGGCTGGTGTTATTCATTGTGTGGTGTGCATGCGTTCAGGCTGGTGTTATTCATTGTGTGGTGTGCATGCGTTCAGGCTGGTGTTATTCATTGTGTGGTGTGCATGCGTTCAGGCTGGTGTTATTCATTGTGTGGTGTGCATGCGTTCAGGCTGGTGTTATTCATTGTGTGGTGTGCATGCGTTCAGGCTGGTGTTATTCATTGTGTGGTGTGCATGCGTTCAGGCTGGTGTTATTCATTCTGTGGTGTGCATGCGTTCAGGCTGGTGTTATTCATTCTGTGGTGTGCATGCGTTCAGGCTGGTGTTATTCATTGTGTGGTGTGCATGCGTTCAGGCTGGTGTTATTCATTCTGTGGTGTGCATGCGTTCAGGCTGGTGTTATTCATTCTGTGGTGTGCATGCGTTCAGGCTGGTGTTATTCATTGTGTGGTGTGCATGCGTTCAGGCTGGTGTTATTCATTGTGTGGTGTGCATGCGTTCAGGCTGGTGTTATTCATTGTGTGGTGTGCATGCGTTCAGGCTGGTGCTATTCATTGTGTGGTGTGCATGCGTTCAGGCTGGTGCTATTCATTGTGTGGTGTGCATGCGTTCAGGCTGGTGTTATTCATTGTGTGGTGTGCATGCGTTCAGGCTGGTGTTATTCATTGTGTGGTGTGCATGCGTTCAGGCTGGTGTTATTCATTGTGTGGTGTGCATGCGTTCAGGCTGGTGTTATTCATTCTGTGGTGTGCATGCGTTCAGGCTGGTGTTATTCATTCTGTGGTGTGAGGTGGTGGAGGAAATCAGTGATAGAGGACTAGCATGAAGTGCAATGGACACAGTGTGACCAATATAAGGAGGTGCAAGTGCAGGCAGATGGAGGCGCAATGCAGGCAACAACACGAGGCAAGGCAGCGGCCAGCAATGCACAGAGGAACCCATGGGAGAGAACCCATAGGAGATGAGACAGGCGGGAGAGAACGGGGATGCGAGGGAAAGGGGGTGTGGGAAAAAAGGGGGGGGGGGTGTGCGAGGCAGACTTGATCTTGTCGTGGCGGGCGAGCACGGCGCTGAACTCCACTGAGCGCTGCTGCAGCTCCAACACCAGGCTGTGCCGGTGCTGCTCCTCCAACCACTTTATGCGCCTGCAGGCGGGGAGAGGGGGGAGAAAGCGGCGGGGAGAGATGTGGAGCGGTGTAGAGGGAGACGGTGAAGAGACGAGCGAAGTGATGGGGACAGTAGTACAATTGCTGGGCACACATGAGAGAGCATTACTGTGAGGAAAGTGAGATGAGCGAGGAGGTAAGGCGAGCGAGAGAGAGAGAGTGTGGAGGGCGGGCAGCAAGGGGCGCACTGGGAGCAGGAGGGGAAGCGGCAGGAGAGCTTGAGGAGGGCGACGAGGACGTAGGCCTTGAGGGTGGGCGTGGCACGCGTGTCCTTCATGATGCCCTCCAGCATCTGCACCACCTCTGCCTCCACCACCTGCTCACCCCACCATGCACACACACAAACACAGGGGTAGTTCCAGGGAGGGGTGGGTGTACGCCAGGCAAGGGTGGTGTATGGTAGGTGTGTGGTCGGATGGACGGACGGACGGACAGATGGATGGAAAATTGAGGTAAAAATAGGGTGCACGAGACATGGGTGGTTGGTGAACGGTGGTCAAGTGCATTCTGCTGCAGGTGAAATGAGGATCATGGAGTTCTAGATGGTAATTCACAAGAAATTGAGTAGACGAGGAACATGAAGCGTGGAACGAATGACAGCGGGTGCAGAAGAGCAAAAGGAGGGGTTGGGAGGGAGGGAGGGAGGGAGGGAGAGAGGGAGAGAGGGAGGGAGGGTGGGAGGGAGGGAGGGAGGGAGGAATTGAGGGAGGGAGGGAGGGAGGGAGGGAGGGAGGGAGGGAGGGAGGCACCTGGAGGGGCGTTTCGCCCTGCAGAAGCCCTGTGTTGTTGACGAGCATCTCCCCGTACTCGCCCAGACACCACACCGTCACCACCCCTAGACTCTCCTGCCACACCACACCGAGGACAGGGAGTGGCGAGGCACAGATGCCCGTCAGATGGGGCGCAAGCACATGCAGCATAAGGTACTTGTGGAAGCCAGGCGATGGTGATGCATACAGGCATACAGGCAAGGCTAACGAAAGTGCTTCAGAGGTCGGGAGAGGGGTGGGCGAGGGGAGGGCGAGGGGAGGGCAAGGGGAGGGCGAGGAAACGGCGGGGGAAGGGGGGGGAGACGGGGGAGCGGCGGACCTGGCCCTTCCAGGAGCGCATGGCGTGGAAGAACGAGCGCACTGCAAAGCCCTGCAGCTCAGGTGCGTTGCTGATGAGCACCACCAGGAAGCGGATGACGTCATCCGTCACATACTCCCCTGCCTGGCGCTCACACGCATGCACAGCAGGAGGGGGCGAGGAGGGAGGCATGTGCATGGATGTACATCCGTTACTCAAGAGCAGGCGTGAACAGCTGCGAGTGAGTCTCGCGAGTGAATCACGAGACAAAAACGCATGTTGCAAACATTCAAGGTAGGTTGATGTGAGGAAAGTGGTGGATGCGAGGAGAGGAGAATGGAGGGGAGGGGAGGGGAGCGGACGGGAGAAGAGGGGAGGGGAGGGGAGAAGAGGGGAGAAGAGGGGAGGGGAGAAGAGAAGAGGAGAGGGGGCGTACCTCGGTCATGACTCGCAGCATGATCTCCACGTGATACAGCTTGCTGGGCGCGTACCTGCATGCAACCCCATGCACACACACACATGCACACGCAGCCACCCATGCACATGCACCCCCCATGCACACGCACCCCCCATGCACATGCACCCCCCATGCACATGCATCCACCCATGCACATGCACCCCCACCACGCAGATACAAATCCACATGCATGGCCGGCAGGACACACACACCACAGGTTGATGTTTCAGGCGCGTCAGAAAGGCACCAGGACACATGGCGGAGCACAATCCGGGATGAGGGAAGGCGGGCAGCACTTGACACACAAAACGACAGGTGGAGCGGAGAATAGGGAGAGGAGGAAGAGAGGAAGGGGATGGGGGGGAAGTGGGGGAAGGGTGGGAGCAGGTGGGGGAGGCAACGTTGCACGAAGGAACAGTTTTTGGAGGTGAGGTCGGGCTTGAAGTACATGGCACAATAATTGGGATGAGGGAAGGCGGGCAGCACATGGCACACAAAACGATAGGGGGGAGGGAGAAGGGAGACAAGGAGGGAAGCGAAGAGGAGGGGAGGAGGGCTTGTGGGGGAGGGGGCGGGGGGAGGGGGGGCGGCACCGTTGCACGAGGGCGCAGATCTTGGAGGTGAGGTCGGGCTTGAAGTCGGAGTCAGCGGCGCGCAGGTAGTCCAGCAGCTCGCGTGTGAGCGCCTTGAGATTGCCCTCGTTCACCAGCGCACACACCAGCTCCAACGCCCTCCTCCTGATGGAGATGTCTGAATCCTGCTCGTGCAGCCATAAAAACAGAAGGGGTGGGAAGGGGGTGGAGAGGGGAGAGAGGAAGTCAGTGAGAGTGTCAGGCCGTGGCAGTTACAACGTGAAAGAGGAATCGATGGTGGGGGTGCATGAGTGAGGGGGGTTTAGGGGTGGTGTAGGAGGGAGGCAGAGAGGTGGTGTGGGAGGGAGGCAGGTGGGGTGGTGTGGGAGGGTAACAAGAAGGGTGGTGTGGGAGGAAGCCAGGAGAGGTGGTGCTTGCCTTGACGCATTCGACGATGGTGTTGCGGTGGCGCTGCACGGCCTGTGTGTCCACCGCCACCACCTTGATCAGCGTGTGTAGCGCCACGTACCTGCCATGCCCACACCCACGCACACACGCATGCACGCATCCATGCACACTCGCACCCACACACACACACACCCATGCACCCATGCACAGCCGCACCCACACACCTCCGTACCCCCCCACCCATACAAGGCAACACCAAAACCCGCAACACCGTCCACATATAGGCCCACACATAGTCAATGCACACATACAGCGTCAGGAGGAGATGGCAAAACAGTCCACAATGCAAATGGAGCAGGCACCGCAGTGCAAGCATGTGTGAAGAAGGGCGGGGTGGGACGGGCCGGGGCAGCAGGGCAGGGCAGGGAGGGGCAGGGCATGGTGGGTCGGGGAGGAGAGGGAGGGGGGAGGGGCGGGTAGAGGTAGAGTACCGGATGTTGTTGTCACGGTTGGCGAGGAAGCGGCCGAGGATGTTGATGGCAAGCACGCGCAGGCCGCCAATGGCCTCCACGCCAAAGATGGTGTGCACACACTCGTACAGAATGGCGTTGCCCGTGTTCTTGTTCGCCTCCGTGTTCGTCGCTACCTGTAAATGGGGGCACCCCGTGCACGCGGGACGGGGAAAAGAAGTGCAGAGGATGAGAGGTTAAACGGCCAGAGGCTGTGAGGGTGAAACGTGGAGGAGTGCAGATTATAGTTACTTCACAACAGTGGATGATACGGCAGTGGTGGAGGTGATACCTGCAGCAGCACGCCTGTATGTCTCTACCTGCGCGAGGATGCCCCTCCCCTACATGTGCCAGCACGCTTGTAAGTCTCTACCTGAGCGAGGATGTCGCTCATGATGTCGCTGGCGTCGGGGTCGCCCTTGCCGAGCATGCGCAGGAGGCGCAACACGCGGATCTGCAGGAAGGGGTCCGTGATGCCGCCCACGTCGTACTCGGGCGCGTACCCGCTCACCACCAGGTTCTTCAGAATGCGCACCAGCGTCGGCACTTGCTGTTTGGGGGGGGGGAGGGAGGGAGGAAGAGGGGGAAAGGTGGTGAGAGGGCAGCGATGCCGCCCACATCGTACTCGGGCACGTACCCGCTCACCACCAGGTTCTTCAATATGCGCACCAGCACAGGCACTTGCTGTGGGGGAAGGGGGGGAAAGGTGGTGAGAGGGCAGCAATGGTGGAAACGCGTCAGTCAGGCAGTTCATGGCGAGAGGCCAAGCCAGCACCAGTTACTTCACTCACACGTGCTGCCTTGCCACCTGGTATCAGTGTGGCAACACCCTCACAAGCTCCAGTCTTTGAGCCCCCAATTAATGGAGAAAATTTCAACAACAGCGAAGGATGAGGGTTGGGGGGAAGGGGTAAGTAGCTGACCTTGCGGAAGTAGTCGAGGGCGGGGGGGTGCGTGTCGCAGAGCTGGATGGCGAGCTTGGTGCCGGACAGCAGCACGCCGTGGTGCTTGTCCTGCAGCAGCCCCGACGCCGGCCCCAGCAGGTACTCCGCCAGGTCCGGCACCTTGCGGATGATGCGCACCGAACACAGCGCCGCCTGCACGCAAGGGGGAGAAAGGGGTGGGTGGATTGGGGGAAAGGGGCGGGGGAGTGGGTGTGAGGCAGCAGGGGATGAGTGTGGGTCAGCGGAGATTCTAGCGGAGGTCGGGGTGAGTGAGGTGGTGCTCCAAGAATCACAACAAGCAACCTCGACTGCACGCACGCACGCATCCCAGTGGCAGCCCGGGCGTGAGTGCAGGGAGGGGTTGCGTTGCGGAGTCACCTTTTTGCGGATGTAGGAGTTGTTGCTGTTGAGCAGGCGCTCCACCTCGGGCGCGAGGTCGCGCGCCATCTCGCTGGAGCAGATGTTGCCCAGCGCGCACAGCGCCAGCCCGATTATGAACTGGTTCGTGTGGTTCAGGTCGCTGCGGGAACGGGGAAGGAATGGGGTGGGGAGGGGTGAGAAGGACGGACGATAGGAGCAGGGGGAGGGAGCAGAAGGAGGAGGATATCGCTGGACAGGGGAAGAGAGCGACCCATGATCGTGAACTGGATCCAGAGAAAGGAGGACGTGGGGCCTTTTTACTGCATGCACACCTGTTGTGCGAGAACCATTCGCGAATTTGGACGATCACGACACGTGAATGCGAATTCACAGTGCGGGTCCGACGAATTCGGTGTGAGGGGGAAAGGCGAGCAGCAAGCGCTCACTTTTTGAGCGAGTTGGTGACGAGCATGAGCACCTCCTGGCGCTCGTCCAGCAGCACCATGAGCCCCAGATATCCGATGCGCTTCTCCGGGAAGCCCGGCGACGCAATGAGCTTCAGGCACTCCATCTGGCCAAAGTGCGTGGGGTAGCCCAGCATGTGGATGAACATGAGCTTCGCCACGTTGCGGTGCCGGTACTCGATGTCGTTCTCCTTGAACGCTGTCCGTAGATTCGCGCATTCCTTCGCGATCACCCCTCGCTCCTCGGCCGCTGTCTTGCACGCACGGACATTCCGGATCATGTCCCTGAAACGCCGAGCAACAATCGTTCAGGATAACTGTAGGATCGAGATGCGTGTAAAAATGAAGCATTTTGTCACATAGCCTGCGAAAACGCATTGATTTGCACGGAACTAACCTCAATCTGGTCCCTCCGAGCATCATTGTGACGGCTTTGTTATTAGGCGTCAAAATAGTCTTGGTGATGCTACCGACGGCAGGAAATCACTAAAGAAAAAAGAAAATTCGGGCACGGCCACTGCTATGTCACCAGCCGGACCTAACGATATGGGGACGGATCGCACAGGATGCTTGAGAACTACCAGGAGAATACTAGCAAGAGCCTATGTCGTACGAAAGGAGTTAGCTTGTGACCTTGGGAATGGCTTCGCAGTAACCAAGGTACAGTGCGAGCGGTGAGCCAATCTGGGTTGGTGTGCTAGACGAGCGGGAGAAACCCAATTTCCTGCAACGGACTTCCAAGCAAAAATTGGAGCCAGGATCATATTCGCGTTACTGACGATTTCGTTAGTCCGGCTATGTTCATGTTACTTAGGAGCCAAAATCATATTCGGGTTACCAGTCCAAATCCTTTCTGTTTTAGTGCCAGAAATGACCCCTAAAAAGGACGAGAGGCCTAGAGCTAACATCGAGAATATATTAAATCTGGTTATTAGAAAACACATACACAGATCTGGTTCAGGTCTTACAACTCAAAGGCAATAGTAGCTAATAAAGCTGATCTATAAACTGTCAATTGAAGTTCATTTAGTCTGAAGATTCATGATTCCTAAAAAGGAGAATAGATTGGAGCAAACAATCTCAGGCGGGAGGAAATTCCCCCCTCTTACTATTGACCCAGCCCGAAGGTCATTTTGAGCTGGAAATACTATTTTCTCGCTGCCCACCCACGAAATATCGATTCGTGCGTGGCAGGAACAAAACTTTTGACCCACGCGATGCGCGCGAGGCACAGGATTCGTGCTCCCGCACATGCCGGGGCGCGATCTCAATGCCAGGAACAAGTCGCGCTCGCGGGGGCTAAGATGAGAGGGGCGAAATGCGCAATCGCTATCACGCAATGCAATGGATGTGAGAGGAGGTGCCAGCCAAATGCGTCAAGTGAAGGCAAGGCAGCCATGTTGGCGCTCCTCAAAAAGTGGACAAAGCAATCAAGGCTGGAGAAACCAATGGCGATGCGGAAAGAATAGGACGGTGAGGGTAGGAGATTGGAGATGTCACACAAGGACTAGAAGCAGTTCAGCTCTTTCGTAACTCGAGTTGCGATGTTGACGTGAGCTCACGCTTACACCAACAGTGTGACAACGACAGCAATCACCTCTTCCATCTGACCCTCAGCAGTTCTGGGTAGTAGTGCAACAAGACAGCGACTTGTAGTTGACTTTAGACGCCGCTCGGCGCGTGCACGAGCGCGGCAATGGAGTCGGAGGGCATTTCCCGGCACGAGATGGAGATGAAGGCACTCACCGACAGCCTTTCGCGAATACGCCACCTGCGCAAGAAGCGATCTGGCCTTGATGCCGCCCCCTCCCCTGCCGCTATTGCGCACCCTCCGCCTTCCACTCCCTCCACCGCCCCTCCCGCCACTGCTTCCTCTATTTTCGCTTCCTCCGCCTCCCCCCGCCCTTTCTTCCGCAACACCAGGCCTGCCTCCCCCTCTTCCGCGCAATCCTTACCATCTCCTGCCGCCCGCCCAGGTCCCTTGGAGCTGCGCGCCGAACAGAGCGCGCCGAGCCACTGGGACGTGCGCTCGTGGCTGCCCGAGGGCCTCGCAGCCGCCAACCAGCCGACGCCCGCCAGCGCATCGCGCGACGACTCGACGGAGCACGGCGCGACCAGCCGCGACGACGACAGCGCGACGAGCGAAAGAGGAGAAGGCGCGGCGAGCGAGGACGTGCTGCGGGCGAACGAGCGGCTGATGATGCACGTGGCGGCCTCGCGATGGGCGTCGCAGGGCGCTGCCGCGCAGGCGAACGCAGAGCACAGGGCGCCCTCGCCCCCGCGCAGGGCGCACGACGCGGGGGAAGCGGATGATGAACGGTCCGATGCGACAGCGAGGTTTCATGTGGCGAGCGGAGCAGGCTTGGCGGAGGCGCGCGGAAAGGCGGAGATTGCTGGCTACGGAGGAGGGAAGGGGGGGGAGGCAGAGGGGGATGACGAGGGGGAAGCAACGAGCGGGGCAGGAAACAAAGATGGAGAGGCGGAGAGTAGGGCGGACGGAAGAAACGAAATTGGTACTGGCGCGTGGCGGTCAACGCGAGTCAACGAGTTGGAATCGGAGGACGATAACTGGGACGCGCCAGACCCCACGAACAGCGGATTGTTCGGCGGCGGGTCAAGCGCGTTCTTCAACCCCCTCGCGGATGACGTGGCGCTCAACCTGCGCCTGTCGCTCGACGACGATGACGATGAGGAGGAGGAGGAGGAAGAGGAGGAGGACGGGGAGGAAGAGAGAGATGAGGAGGAAATCAATAGTTACTTCGAGGGCGCAAGCGTGGAAACCGGAAGCCGTGGAGGCGATTCGATTGGAGTATCAGCGGCCGGCAAGTCCGGCACGCGCTACGAACGAGCTGCCGATTCCGGGTCGGACGGTTGGGGAACGGCAGGGGGAGGCGTGGGTAAGGAGCGAGGCAGAGGCGGAAGAAAAGAGGCGGGGAAGGCGGGAGGCGCGCGGATGGCGGCAGCGCGGCGGGAGTTGGAGGAGCAGCGCGCGGTGGTGGAGCGCAAGTGGCGCGAGAGCCAGATGGAGATGAGGCGAGCCGCGCGCATGGCGACCGCGCTCAAGGCCACCATTGACTCCATTGACTGCGTTGACTCGCCCGCCCGTGCCACCGTGCCCGCCTCCCTCCCTGCGCTGCTGATTACGCCCCCTCACAGCTCACTTGCAGCCCTGCCTTCCCACTCCTCCTCTACTGCCGTTACCACTGCCGCGCCTGCTGCGCCCGCTCTCGCTGTTTCTGCGGATGGAGGCGACGCGGGCGGCCGCAGCTTGAGTGACACGGGCGGGGGAGGAATGGGAGGGGAGGGCGCGGGTGCGCGCAGCATGGGGTGCAGCAGGCGCGCGCTGGTGGAGGCGCGGCGGCTGCGGGAGCGGCTGGAGGGGCTGATGCGGCGCATGGAGGCGCAGGGGAAGGCCGGCGCGGGCGGAATCAGTGGCGCGGGGAGCGAGTGCGCGGAGTCGGAGGCGGAGTCGAGCAGCGCGTCGTCGTCGCGCCTCTCGTGGGCCGCCAGCAGCTCCGCCTCGCGCGGCGCCAGCAGCTCCGGCGGCAGCGGCGACGGCAGTGGCGGCGATGCGACATGGCTGCTGAAGCGCAAGATACTGCGCGACGCGGGCGAGGTGAGATGCGAGCGAAGTGAGAAGCAGGGGATGTGTTTGTGTGTCTACACTCGTGCCGTGCATAGCACTTTAAACGCCATGCCTACGCATTACTTCAACAGAACGCCCTGTGCTCGTTCCTGTCGGCCTTTTTACAATCCAACGGCTGCAGATGGCTCATCTTGAACGCACCATGGCTCGCATCGCTGCTGACGTGGCAACGACCAAGGACGTGTCCGCGCGCATGGAAGGCCACGCGGTAGAGCGCGGGGAAGGGGGAGACGGCGAGGAGAGGGGCGGCGCGGAGACAGAGGCGGGCGGCGGGCAGAGGAAGAGAGAGCGGGGCGATGGGGGCGGCGAGGGCGGCAGTGCGGGCAGTGATGGCACTCTGGCCGTGCTGCAGGTGAGAGTGGGATATGGGCGTTCGGGCAGGGAATGCACTCGTGTCAGCCGTGTGCGCCCGGCCACCTCACTTCTCCTGCTCCCACTCTCTTCCCACTGCCACAATCCGCACCCGCATCCATCATCCCACGTGCATTTTGCGCCCTCCACTTCTTCCCCCCTTCCCCCTCTCCCCTTTCCCCCCCGCCTCTTCCTCAGGCCCTGGCAGCGCGCATGGAGGGAGAGGTGGAGCGGGTGCGTGAGGAGCAGGAGGCGTGGCGGCAGCGCGCGGCGGTGGCGGAAGCGGAGGCGCGGAGCCTGCGGCGGCAGGTGCAGCAGCGCGACCACGCGGGGGACGCCATGTCAGCGTCGCTGCGCGCTGAGCTGGACATGCTGCGCGCAAGCAAGGAGCGCACGAGGCGGCGCCAGCTGGCGGAGAGAGGCGCGTGGCGGCGGGCGGCATATCAGCTGCGCGTGGTGATGGGGGGAGAGCAGCTGGCGCAGATCCGCGAGGTGGGGGAGGACGGGGGAGTTGGGGGAATGGAGGGCGTGGGGGAGGGTGGGAGGGGCAGCATGCGTCCTTTGGATGGCGGCGCGCAGTGGAGGGGGAAAGGGGAAAGAGTTGGGGGAAGTGTAGGCCGGGGAGAAGGCGGAGAAGGGGGGAGGGAGATGGAGGCGCTGACTCGCGCGCTGGCGCTGGTGGTGGCGACTGGCGCAACGGGGGGAAGTGACGGGGAGGAGGAGGGGGGATTTGGAGGGGGAGAGGGGCAACTGGTGGCAGTGCGGCGAATGGCAGGTGCGCTGGTGCAGAAGAGGGGGGCGGAGAGAGGGGAGGAGAGAGGGGAGGAGTCTGCAGAAAGGGCGGAATCAGGAGAAGGCGGAGGTGTCAGAAAAGGCGGAGGAGGCGGAGGTGCAGAGGAGGCAGCAAGAGGAGAGGGTGGAGGCGGATGGACGGCGCAAGTAACGGAAGAAAAGGCGCAGGGCGAGGGGAAGAAGCAGCAGAGGCAAGGGGAAGTACAGCTGGGCAGGCAGCGACAGCAGCAGGCAGAGGCAGAGGGAAGCGGAGTTGTGGTGGAAGAGAAGGCGGAGGGCAGCTTGACAGTGACCAATGAACAAAGTCAGCTCCTCCCGCCGCCACCTTCCGCCCTCGCAGCCCCGCCCGCACCTCCTCCCGTGTCACCAACAGCAGCAGCAGCGCAAAGTGCCGCAGCAGCAGCAGCGGTGGTGGTGGTGGTGCCGCAGCTGCCAGCGCGGCGAGTGGCAGCGCCAGCGGCGCACAGCAGGAAGGGCGCGGGGGCCGCGGGC